ATGTAATAGAGATGATAATTTTGGGAAAATTTATGCATTTTCCAAGATTAGTATTTGAGCGAAAGATTTTACATGTGAGGGAGTCGCCATTATCAACGCGAAGTCACCTGTAACCGAAAAAGCTTTGTGTCTATGCAAGAATAGCAAAAAGAAATTTTCTATGTTTCGCTTCACCTCGGACAACGCGAAGGTGTTGATAATAAATATTAATAAGGCTGGTCATTATGTTATTATAATAATCAAGTACCAGTGCAACGAAATAAACTTCCGGACACGACAAGAATCAATTTACAAAAGTTCGTTTCACAAAATTTTGTTCTACGTGGCACCCGAAACCTCTACGTATAGCGTCTGCGGGGCTATAGTCGTCAGCCAACAGAAGTCGTCGAAATATTGGAAAGGGAAGTTTTGATTTTTTATTCAAGATATTTCGTCTCTTTAATTTCAATCCGCGTTTAAAGTCGTCTTATACCCAATTGTGAACCAGGATTGGCGTTATTGAGGAAAAAGTCATGACGTCAGTTTTAAATAATGAAATACATGTTATCTGATCCGCGATTCCTCTTGAAAGTCCCCGGTCGCTAATGATAATTATTTGTCAGATTGGACCGACTGTTTGTGCTGCTGGAGGCCGGCGCGGGCGCAGCTACTCGACGTGCGGCGGCGCGCCAGCTCGGTGAAATTCAAAAAGCTCACCCTGAGGAATTGCACCGGTTGCTTGGAAGACTGATGAAGCATCTTCGATCGCCTGCTTGGGAAACGAGGGTTGCAGCGTCACAGGTGAGTTCATTTTTCCACGGTATTACTGTTGAAACTTTTTAGTAGCAGTAAAGCTCCTTGTGAAAGAGTTCGTCCCGGGTTAGTACTGCCATCTTACCTATTTCTGCCGTCAAGCAGTAACGTTCGTATTACTGTGTTCCGGTTTTGAAGGGTAAGGGTGCTGGTGAAATTACAGGCACGTGGGACTTGTCAACTTATGTCTAAGGGTGACTGTTCTCTCACAATACGCCAAGCTTTCACAACACAGCGGCTCGTCGCTGCGCAAGCGGATCTCGGTCGGATACTGATGCCATGAGCTCATTGAGCATTGCGAGGATACGGGGTGGTGATTATAAAATTTCATACGTACATTTGTAAGCGTCCGCACACGATGACGACTTAACAAAGTTTGTTATGAGTTAGTTATATTTTTGTTGTAATTATTAATACGAAGGCATTATATATACCTTGAAAAAATCTTTCGATCAGGCTGGTTTCGAACCGACATTTTCTTGCAAACCGTGTATTTACCGTATATTTTTGTTGTCAAATTATCATTTCTGTTGTTTTATGTTTTTTACTGTATAATCTGAAGTAATTTTTGGTTAAAAAGAGAGTTGTCAAACTATAAGTTAGTCTAATTATTATGAACGAACAAGTTGTGCGCCTGACGGTAACCTACACACCTATCCATAACAGTTGCAGTGCCACTCAGAGCTTTAAATCGCAAAGATCTGAGGGGCACTGCCACTGCGCCACTCACACTGAGACGTAAGGTGACAAGTCCCATGTAACTGTAGTTCCACCAACAACCCTTCAAAACCGAAACACAGTAATGCTGACATTAATGCAGGCAAAAATAGGTAAGGTGGCAGTACTTCCCTGGACGAACCATTTCACGAGTTCTACTACTACTAAAATGTAATGCAACGCAAAAGTTTAAAAGCGTGTAAACTACATTGTTGTTATTGCATTAAGTGTCTTATTGAAAAGTATTCGGTGCATAATACAAAATAACACATAACTTTATGGCGCCTTCAAAATATTTACAGTGACAGTACTATATTTATTACCAGAGATCAGAATATAGCAGAGCACATTTACTTAAATTTCAAGGAAGTAATACACGTAGAGTGGATAATACCTTTGTATTTTTGTTGTGTAACTGCTAGGACTTTCAATCTCGCTGAATTTCTGCGTCCCGGGAATACATTATCGAGACTCGGGGCTTTATATAGGCTAGGCATTTAGGCAGTGAAAACATGATATTTTAATGAAGTTCTTCATTATCGCCAGTTATAAAATAAATAAAAAAATACGAAAGTTTTTAAAGAAAAAGAAACACAGGGTTTTATATAGTTTCAGATAGAGAGGATCTCTTTTTAACACTATCGTTCTTATTCATATCAATATTTTTTGATTGAACTAAGCTCCACTCAGTAGTTTTTTTTAATACTGTTTAATTAAGTGACTAAGTCACAAAATTCTCAATATTCCTTGTAATTTTCGAGACCGAAATATCCGGGATGACAACCCTAGTAACTAGCAACCACTTTACTGCGGTAATGTATTTAGAGGTAATGTTTTGTATTGAAATGAAAATGTATTGTAAGTTAAAATAACTCACTATTTTGTTTTCGATTTTTTGTCTTTTATTTTTAGTCATTCCGGGATTTTAGAGGGAGGGATCATCTACTCTGTATGTATTACTTAAACTTTACGTAAATATAACATTCTGCCTATTTGAACCTTTGTTTATTACCATAGCAATTTAAATGGAAAGTTAAATGTATGAGATATAAAAATACGCTTATAAATATCAGTCGTCAACTACACTGTAGTAGTAGTGGAGCTAGTGGATTTGCATTATTTGATTCCGCTTTCACCTTTCCATCATCGGGGGACTATCATCGCCTTTTCAAGGCGATAGTGAATAGGCTTTATTAAGGTGTGCATGCTACATTGTCGACCCCATCATCACTTTCCATCAGGTGAGATGGAGGACAAATGCGCACTTATTTTTAATAAAAAAAAAAAAGAAAGGTTGTGAATGAGTTCGTGCAGGGAAGTACTGCGAACTTACCAATATCTGCCGCCAAGCAGTAATGTGATCATTTCTGCGTTCTAGTTTCGAAGGGTTAATGGTGGTAGGGAAATAATAGGCACATGGGACTTGTCAATTTATGTCTCAGGTTGTCAGGCGCAGCGGCGGTGACCCTCAGAACTTTGCGACTTAAAACTTTGAGTACCACTGCGACTGTTACTTACCACCAGGCGCACAATTTATAGTATCATAAAAAATGCCATGCAATGCACGTCCGCAACGTATAATACGACATACCTTGGCTCCATGAATGAGTATCCGATATTGTCGCTGAATTGATTATCTGCACTCTTTATTCCACGTGTATCGCGATAATCGCAGATTGTCAGATAATATGGCACATTGTTGTTGTGCTAATCGCTGCATTGTGAAGATGATTGAGAAATTAATCGGTATATTAGCATATTTTGTACCGCTTTTAAGAAATATGGCTGTCGAATTGGTTGCCACCCGATATTAATTCCTGAAATCCTAAAAAACACGAGTAAAGTCGTTATTGGTAAGAATAGCCAGAAACCGGAATTATAGCTTAATGCACGGGTCTTGACAGTCGTCATTAGAAAGTCACAAATTCATTTAAAGGGCAATATGTACGCTTTCTTAAAAAGATTCCGGTTGATATCCAAAATTTGCCATTCACGAGGTTTTATACTACAGGATATTTACAGCTTCTGCGTACTTGGATGACAAAAATCCATAAAGCCATAAACTCGCTAATCGGCCATTCTCACGTTCGATGTTCTCAGCCTAATTACCGTGGCCATATCGGTGTCCTCGGCCTAATTACCGTAAATATTTTTTCTCGCGTATTATACCCAATAACATTGAAGTATGAATACTTTAAGCTAAACTATCAATATGTCTAAATGGCATTAGAATATACAAAGTAGTTTTCGAGTTATTAAGACACAAATATTTCATGGAAACGATAATTAGATCTAATTACCGTAGCCATGGATACGGTAATTAGACATTTCAAAAATTTTTAAGAAAATAGCTTAATTATTATTTGTGTATTTTGCTACATTTGGTTTATTTCTACTACAAATATTTATTGAGCTGTGTTAGAAATAGTCAGTTTTTCTTAAAAATTTGAACTTTCTAATTACCGTATCCATGGCTACGGTAATTAGATCTAATTACTGTTTACATAAAATGTTCGTGTCTTAATAACTTGAAAACTATATTCTATATTCTTAATAACTTGAAAACTATATTCTAATGCCATGTAGACATCTTAATAGTTTAGCTTAAAATTTTCACATTTCAATGTTATTGGATATAATAGGCTTGAAAAACCAATGGCTACGGTAATTAGGTTGAGAAAATCGAAGTGGCTGTGGTAATTAGGCTGAGAACACCGAATGTGAGAATGGCCTTAATAAGTCACTTGTAGTTTGATTCAAATCAATAAGTGCAGTGACTTGCAAAGCTATCTACACTAAAAGCAAAATGCTTGTAGGCAGGCTTGTTGACACAAGCATGTGGTATGCACCTGATGTGCATGTTATATGGCATACCTTTAACGTGTATATACATGCTTGTTATCTTCAATTTGCATACGGGCACGGAAGTAGGCTACACGAAAATACGTAGTTTGACTTTTAGAAATACGAATGAAGGTGTTACCACAGTTGTCGTCGTCGACTCGACGTAATTTGATTAGAAAAAGCTCAATGTTCGTACCATGAGAGCTAAAACGACGTTGCGGGTTACGCCTGTCATGAATTGTGTCCTCCGTCCTTGGCAACTAGCTCAAGCCAACTTCGCGTCGATAACTGTGATGCATAAAATATTTTTATTTTATAATATCAAGTGACGGGACGAATAAGTCGTGCGCCTGATTGTAAGCTACGCGCCTATTTGTAACGGTTGCTGTGTCCTCAGAGCTTTAAACCGCAAAGATCCGAGGGGCACTGCCACTGCGCCCGGTCACCCTGAGACAATAGTTGACAAGTCCCATGTTCATGTAATTTCACCAGCACTCTTACCCTTCAAAACTGGAACACAGTAATGCTGACATTACTGCTTGGCGGCAGAAATGGGTAAGGTGGCAGGACTTCCCTGGACGAACTCTTTCACAAGGAGCTGTTCTGCTACTTAAAATATGCAACAAAACACAAGTATTTGAAGTACAAGAACTCTATTTTTAACCTAATTAAAAAAAAGAGGATATTATCAATTCGACTATGTGTTTTTTATGTATGTTACGCGATGACTCCGGCGTATGATTTGTGAACGGATTTTGATGATTCTTTTTTGTTGGAAAGAGCGTACTTCAGGGTCCCGTTTAAATTTTAAGAAAATATTCCACCTCTATGTTAAAATATTCCAAGATTAGGTTTCTGAATTATCCGACGGTGCTTAAATGTAGTTTCAAATCCAACAAGTCCTCGCCAAATGTGTGTTTCGCCTATTTATGCCAGGACATTGACTGTTGTGCTAGACGACCTTTGATCTGTACCTGTAACCTTCCATTCACCTACCAACTGATTCGAAAGTTAATAGAGTCCTTTATGGTTTCTACAGGTATGTAGGTATAGTATTTGTTCATGTTTGATTACTTCCTGCGCAATATAAAATCTAGTAATTATAGTTGTATTATGGCGTTGGATATTTATTGAAATATTTTGGAATACCGTTAATTTGGAAGGACGGAATAACATGAAAAATTCATGAGTGATGGTTAAGTCTCCATCTTGAATACAGTCCTTCTAGCAAAGTCACCGTGTGGCGGCTAGGTTTTTTTTTCACAGATAATTATAAAGACCCCAAATATAAGCTCCGCGTTCGCTGTGTTCTTTACTGTAAATCTCCTCAACGACAACTGAAACCAATAATATGGCCGTCCTCGTCAAAACGAATAATAAGAGCTCAAACACAAACTATGTACGCTGTTGTCCCATCTATCTGCAATTTCCATCATCAGATCGTCTCTGGTCACCATTTTACTTTCAATGGAATTAATTCTATGTAAAGCAACAGCACATCGGGCTATATACGCATTGACGTATTTTGTTCCCGTTACACTGGAGGCTATTTTCGGACAAAAAGGTGTAGACTAAAAGTGAAAGTGGGTGGAATTCAATAAACTGGATTCATCCCCTTATTTGCCACCCTTAGGCTCTGGTCACACAGAGGCGGCCGCGGAAGCGCTCTGTGTGACCTGAGCGCTACAGGTATCTTCTTCAAATATTAATGGGATCACAAGTAAGGTACACCTTTTTCAACAAAAACTTAATCATCGAAATCAGTTTAAAAATGTCGGTGTAATCATCATACACACAAAAAATACAGTCAGAGAACCTCCTCTTTTTAAAGTCGTTTAAAAATGACTTCATTCAGGGTGCTCTTGGGTTTACCCAAGTATTGAAGTGCATCCAATAAGTGTGCGGATGCACATACTGTTTTTATGCTTTAATACGTAATGCACTAAGGGTCGTATTCTAGAACTCTACTCAATGCTCAAGTCAGGATTGCACTGGAAACACAAGCACTGGAAATACGACCCTAATGGTAGGGACTTGAGTATGATTTCGAGTGCTTTAAACCATACTCAAATCCTGACTTGAGCATTGAGTAGAGTTCTGGAATTACGACCCTTAGAGCGGTTACATTTGGCGACTTGTAGCAGCGATGCAAACGCGACGCAGTAGCGATGCAGTCGCTAATCGTCAACCTTTACACACGCGCGCGATTAAGCAGCGACGCAAGCGCGCGACTGCATCGATACAAACGCGCGATTGCATCGCTACACTTGGGATTTATAGGCGATGCAGTGTCGCGCGTTTGCATCGATGCAATCGCCTATAAATCGCGCGTTTCACAACCGCGCGTTTGCATCGCTGCTAAAAGTCGTGGTGTGTACCCACTCTAAGACGTAGAATGCTGGACAGCCCCAACAGCATACAGATGACACTAGCCGGTAGACAGGAGAAGCATTGGGTATTGGTTGTTATAAAACCTCATGGTGACCGTGTGTATTTTATTAATAGATTTTTTGTTCTATTATTTACTTTTTGTTTAAATAAATAGCGCGCACACTCATAGCCCCGCACTAGGCAAACCCTGTATCGCGGGTGTCATGGACACACACATAGACAACCACAAATTACATCCAAACTCACGAGATAAATAAATGTAGGCCTTATAAATATTTCTCCCGGCTCGGAATTCGAATCCCGGACTTCTGCGTGGCAGACCAGCATCGTAACCGTTCGGGTGCGGAAGCATTCAAGTTCAGTCACAGTCAAGTCAGTGCCTCTTGTTTTTTTTATTTTTATTTTTATTTTTTAATATTGATACAAAGATAAACCAATGTCAAATTAAAGCGATCCGACTGGAACTAGTGTCTGTTGCTTGAACGTGGCTAGTTGATCGCGATGTTTGTATCAATAATAATTAAATATTTAACGCATACACTCATAGCCCCGCAGTATAAAAACCCTGTATCGCGGATGCCATTGACACATACTCATAGACAACGACAAATTACACTCAAACTCACGAGATAAATAAATGTAGGCCATACAAATATTTCTATTCGATTTGCAATCAAACCCGGGCGTGGCAGACGTGGACGTGGTAACCGTTCGGCCACGGAGGCAGTTAAAAGTTAATAATAACAAACTAGTAGTAGAGTATGTCATAGTCATGGCAGTAAATCATCATAATGCTCGATAAATATAAATATTGTTTGTTTTTGTTTTATATATTTTAAGTGCTAGACAGATTTATATATTTTAAGTACTAGATAGTGGTTTGAATAAACAGGACTAGAATTTGAATAAAAAAACAAACATAGTACATCATATTAATGTATGTTAATAATGTACAAACATGTTAAATGAGTTTATGACTCAGCTACAGAAGGCTACTTATATGAAGCACATTGCCCTCGTTGATATTCTGCTATAGCCTGTGATTGTTAAAACACACAAAAATATATCAAATATACATACACGCATTGCATACTTGAGTAAAAACGATAATAACAAGAGTGACATACAGCTAAAATTTAAAGTTGAAGTAACAATTACAAGAAATGTAACGCATAAAGTAACAATTATAAGAAACCTGGCATCGCGAAATAGCTTCTCAAATAACAGCCATTGTGAGCATTTTCATCCGAATGTCGGTAACAGTTGATGCACTGCCCGACTTGCAGAAGGAGCAAGTCATTCCATATTTTAGCTGACGTTTATTTGAAGCAACCACGAACGACGACAGCCAATATTATGATCGACTTCTTTGGTTAGCCTGGAAACATTATACATGTTTTTTCATCTAAAGGACACCTATTTAAGGCAGCACGAGTTACGCACCTGATAATCTGATCGTGATCTCGTCGTGGCACTAGCAAAAACGCACGCATGTGTTGTGACCCTTTTCAACTTCATGGTCCAACCAGACAAGACCTGAAAAGTATATACAGCACTAGTTTAAGTTTTTGATACCTCTGCCAATGCCGCTGACGCCCGTGTACCGTCTCCACAGACCACATAAATACTAGTAATCGTCTCCATATAAATAGTTGTTGTACGCTGTGTAAATTGCACAAAGCGTAGGTCCAAATACTGAGCCCTGAATTACAACTTTTAATACACTATTGTATAAAAATGGATTATTCTCTGATTACTTTATTGATCGATATGTTATGCAAACAAACTGCGTTTTCGACGTCAAGTCTTGTATAGACTAATGATGGGATTTTCTTGAAAGATTTTTCTTTTAATTAAATCCTCAACGCAAAAAGAAGGAAGCAATGAGTTTAAAAGCTTTGGTTTGTGTGCCTGTATGACTGTCTGTGGCATCGTAACTCCCAAACGAATGAACAGAGGCCTGAGTGTAAATTTGTAATCATTCAAACTTAACTACCGCATTTGCGTTAAGATTTTTATTTATTTATTTATATTTATTTAGATCTTAATTATATGTTCATAAGGTTTACATTAAAAATCTTATCGCAAACGGGGATCGTTAAGTTTACGTATTTTAAAACTTACGCTAAGGGCCCTGATCTCAAAGTTGTTTTCTTTTAACCGTGGCCGTGGCCGAACGGACACCTTGCTGGTCTGCAATGCAGAGATCCCGGGTTCGATTCCCGGGCCGGGAGAAATATTTATATGGCCTAAATTTATTTTTCTCGTGAATTTGGGTGTAAGTTATGTGTAATGTATGTATGTGTAATGGTGGTCTATATAGACCACCATTACACACACACATATTCTTATGTGTGTGTGTTACATATGTGTGTCCATGGTACCAGCGATTCGGGGTTTCCCTAATGCGGGGCTATGAGCGTGTGCATTATTTATTTATTATATTGATATGTTGCGAATTTCATTAATTAAGCAATCCAGTGAATTGTCACAAATTTTCGAAGAAATGACACGCAAGCAAAAGTGTTCCACTTAATGCTCACGACGTGGAAGAAATAATAGGTGTTTACCTTTCATGTTATTAATAAGATCAGGCAGTCGAATTAAACATGTCGTTGCGTATAAATCACTTATTTAACATTATTTACTCGATATGGTTCGATATGAAGCCTTTGTATAGGGTTTGGTTGCTGTACAATAAATCCGCCTATGTGTGCAATTACCAGGCAATGCCTAATACCTATAATTAAAATCAATAATTTATTAAAACAATATAATTTTCATATTCAAGTCGATGAATAAATATTAGACAACACCACATACGTTGCTCTGATCCCAAAGTAAAGTAGCTAAAGCACTTGTATTATGGTAATCGGAAACAACGACGGTACCACAAACACCCAGACCGAGATAATAATGGAAAAGTTACTTTTCTACTCTGACCCGGCCGGGGATCGAACCCGGGGACCTCAGAGATGGCGACACCATGAAAGTCGAATATTTACATTAGATACAAGTAGTCAATGCCATATATTCAGTCCTTTTGAGCTTGAATGGATGTAACTTAAATTTAGACGCAAAAAAGTTGTTTACATACTTTCAATTCAGAATTTTTTATTCTATGTTCTCAAAATTGTATAAGTGACGTTTAAATTTGAAAAGATGTTACGTAGTTGTAGCAGTTGTTGTATAGAGAGATGTCGAAAAAAACATTGCGATCTCGCACAGTACCTATACGACGTTACTCACTGTAGACATCAGTCGATTTTCAGCGCATTACGTACATATAACGATAGTCCAGAGGCTTTAGAATTCAACCGTAGCAGATACGGCAACGTAGCGGTATACGTTCCCTTGGGATATGGCAAAATGTTGACATAAATTTGGCAAAGACATTATTTTGACACTGATATGACACAACGTTTCGTTTAGTTAATTGAATTAAAACAGACAACAATTAACAACTATTGATTTTAGTGTATACAACAACTTATTGATTATCTTTTGAATATAGTCGATAACAACTCAACCTTAAATGTATCTCAATGTTTGAACCAGGTACCACTATTTGTAACAGGAATAAGATTTTATTGGACCATAGTTTTTCGACATTTTATATGGACACTGATGATACGACATTATTTCTAAATCAAGAGAATGGTGAAGCGAATAAAAATTGGTCCCCTGCACCATTACGTCACGGGCGTGGCCGATTTGAATTATTTTTTTTATAATCTTCAATTTGCGGTCTTTTTTCTATTCGAAGTATATAACAAAAAAAAAATAAAAGCCTGGTCATCATTGTTCCCCGCTTCACGCTGCCAAAGCCTCAAAAACACGAATATGAAATATAGGGGAACAAAAAAATACTTTTAGCCAGCTCTTGTTACATCAAAAAAAGAAAGTAAAAAAGTAAGATTGTTTGAAAAAAAATACAAATATTCGTACGTACGATTTTAGATTAAAAACATGAATTGAAACGTTCAATATATGTATTATTAAAACTAGTAAAAATTAAAATGAAACCGCTTAATAGCAATAATAATTACTATATGTACCTATATAGTTTTCAAAATACGCGGTTGCACGGTAATCCCCCGTGCCATGAACTACAACCTGATTGTTATCGGAGATTTCCCTAGTCTTTTTTTTAATTTATAATATCAAGTAACGGGACGAACAAGTCGTGCACCTTGTGGTAAGCGACATGCCTATCCATAGCAGTTGCAGTGCCACTGAGAGTTTTAAACCACAAAGATCTGAAGGACACTGCCACTGCGTCCGTCACTCTGAGACATATAAAATAAAAAATAAAAATAAAAGTGACTTTATTCTTCAACACAGGAAACAATACATAAACACTTAAAATAATAACTTAAAAGGTCTGTAATGAAGAAAAGGTTACAGCCTCAGCAAGATGCTGGTTTTCAGGCTTTACCTGGTGATAAAAAATTTTGACGTAGAAATTTAAATAAATTAGTTGCTGCAGACACCGCAGTATGCAATTTATAATTAAATATATATTTCAGAAGGCACCTCACTCACCGAAATTATACAACTACTATAAAACAACACAGAAATTGAGTAAAAATCTTAAATTATGAAGCAAATGATACACGCACTGACCATATAGCAAAATAGGTATAAAAAGCATTATACTCACTACTTATATATAGAATAGGATAAACTAAGAATGAAATTTAATTGAACATTATTGATTATAATTATATATTATATTTACTTGTTATTTATGCTAACATACCAGAACCTAATTCACCTCCAACCAACAGCACGAAGTCTTCTGTTGTTTCAGCAGCCATTCTTTATACATATATTTGAAAGTATAGGATGACTTGCATGTTTTAATTGGCGGTGGAAGATCGTTCCAACATTTAGAAGCGGCAAAGCGGAAACTGCCTCTAAACGAGTGCAATCTAGGAGTTGGTGATAAGTACATAAGTTGACAAGTCCCACGTGCCTGTAATTTAACCAGCAAAAAGTCATCATGGAATCGTCATGATTAAATACGATGGACACTTGCGCGATCTTATTCGTGTGAATCAAGATATACCTTCTTGCTGGACAAAATTTCAAAAGAAAGTCAAATACCTCTGAGTAAATCAAGGAAACGCATTAACTTCACGTCACAGTAGGTATTAATAAAACTACGTATACTTACGGTTTACTACGCTCAGATAGACTTTGTCTTTTCAACCTGCCATAGAAAAGATCTTCCCAGTAGAAGCCTGCGTTATTTTTACCTTGTGCCATGGGTATGGACTATTAGACCATTTTAATTTATGATAAAATATTTGTTTGAAAAAACAAATATACGCGATTTAAACCCGAAAAATAGTTTCATTTCCTATGTACAACAATCGCGAAAACCTAAGAACTCGATACATTTTAATTTCGTTGAAATTTTTAATAAATTTCGCGCCCAATATCGTGATCGTTGCAAGATTTTCGATTCAGGCAGAAAATACGAAATGTAACTGAGGTATTAAAAAAAACTCTAGGTAATATAACAGTCAGGCGTGACCATGAGACATGTAAATATTCGAGCCCGAAGAGTTTCATTTAAACAATAATTGAAAATGATATCATTAATGTTCAGCCTCAACAGTTTCGTAATTAAAAATGCGAGTCGCAAGTGTTGTCCTCCACGTGGTTAACTAAGTGTAGTTTTTAATATGCATTATGCGTGGATAATTATTAACCGACTGTAAAATTACTGTGAAATTACCACAGCCGTACAGCCTGGAAATGGGTAATAAAAATAGCACTTGCTCAATAACAAATTTCTTCACTAACAAAGTTGATGATATTTTCTTTGCATTCACCCACACTCTCACTATATATCATTGTCTCAAACTCATATTCAAACGTCGTATTTCTAAGGTATATAAAATCGAAGTAAGATTTGTTAATATTGTAACTCACATTTACATAATATTGTGAATAAGAGAGTCGCCACACTTGTTGACGCGGAATCGCAAAAAGACAAGGTATAACATCTTTTTCGCTCTTATTACATGCACATACCGATTTAATGAGATTCCAGTGGTGAATGTAAGATGGTGGCTCCGTAACATCATATTTTGAAATTCCTTAGGTTTCCTTCAAAGTGTTGTGTAATTGTACTAAAAATTTCAAAAGGTGAATATTTTTAAAATATTTTTTTAGAATAATTCTGGAGAAATTTATACCGAAAAAATAGTTTTTTTCCTGGAAAAAGTTATTTACCATGACCCCAATACTCGCTGGAAGTAACCGTAAATAATTAGATATCTGGATTAAATACCTTTTGGCAGGTTTTTTTTTATGTTGAGCTGTAGTCGTGGCATGACACAAACTGGCTGTAATTCTGCTTCGACATAATCGCTATATCCAATTAACACTACGCCAACTCAATTTTTGGTAATTTTCTGTTTTTAATGTAAACAGCCAGCGCTAGTGAAATTCGTTATCATTCGTTCACCACTTGTATTCCGTTGTATGATTATGACATGTTTTGTAGGAGTTAGCGTTAGAGATTAGCGTTAGTGTCCTTTTTGTAGTTGAATCATCAATGCGCAAATTGTATTCTTATTATTAACACAGTTGATAATCGGGTAACTTTTGTTGGGAACTTCAAGCAAAGAGAATTCATTGATTATCGCTTTAGAGTTATTGCTTTAGTAAACCATACACACATGTCCCTAGGAAAAAGGTTTAGACCATATTCTACCTTACTCGCCTTTGCTTCCTTCACCTTTGACGCAAGTAATAATTTAGACAACTAAAGCTTTTTTGATTAATAGAACTAGAATAGAACTCCTCTCTTCACCATCTGAAATCTCACTAAATTCGTAATTTTTATTTTGTCATTTCTAATTTGTTTATTGATGTACGTACTACATAATATGTACCTACTTTTAATAAATAAATTCCATATCAAGCCATTCTCGTAATATCCTTTACCAAGAGTTTTCAAAACTACTTTTCTTTATTATTAATCTATATCACTGCTTATCGCGCTCAATATTTGTTGTTGATAAAATACCTGGCAAATCTGCGATAAACTGGCGCGCGAGTCTGTCATCTTGTAATCATGCTCTATGTCGCGATATACTCACGCGAGTGGTGCGTCGAAAGTCTGACGTTACCGGCAAACGACAAACGTTCTGGCGCTAAGGGCAATCTTTTTTTAGCGCTTTTAATGTTAATAATGGTATTATAAGACTTTCGATAGTAACGTTCAACTCCATTGTGATTATCGGGATAAATAATAACACCTTCAAGAGGAATATAGTAACATAGAAGCAAAATAGGAGCTGGCAACCGCGCGATTGTATTATTTAGAGGAATTTAAGTGTTGTTGCCTAGTAAATAGAATCGGCGGCCGCGCGAAAACTTTTGCTTCGTGTAACTGGGCGCTAAGGCGCGACTTGCGCGAGAAGCGACATAAAAGTGCTTATAGCGCTTCAAGCAATGAATGTGGTTGTCCGACGCATTATTATTAGTATTTATCGCGTTCCTGCCTTACCTTTTATTTCGATGATGACAGCCTTCTGCAATCTTATTTATTATAACTATTATTTTTATGTTACATTAAGTTACGTGAACGAAAAAATCCGATAGACTATAACTACCATACTTAAAAAATAATATTCATGTACCGGAAACTAGTGATTATTGATGTGCCAGACAGACTAAAAGGCTTGTCAGAAGCAATTTAAGCGTAACAAATTTTGTAACCTTCGATGTGAAAGATTTTTTTTTTATTGTTCACAGGCAGTAGAGGCTATTCTATCGAACGTTCCTGAATGGCACCCTTCTCCGCTTACAGGAGCCAAAGGTGAGTAAAGAATATCACCATAATCATTATCAACCCATTACACGTACCAGCAGGTGCCTTAAGGTGCCTAAGATTTTTTGACGATTGACACGAGGTTGAGCTACAAAAAATACGATATCGATCATCTGCTTCTTACATATTTAGTCGATTTTGTCTGATTGATCACCTATCGTCGGTGTTTTGTAGAAAGGGCAGAATCGCCATTTAGATTTTTTTTTCAGGGTAGCACGTTTTATGTTTTAACGACTGTTTTAAAATATTAACGTCCTGATTTAAAATTCAATTTTGGGTTTAATTAAGTTTAGGTTTAAAAATTGATTTTAAAACATAAATATTTTAAAACCTGAATTTTTTTCGAATCGTCGCTTTCGCCCTTTATGCAAAACAGCAACAATATGTTGATTGATAAAAACCGGGTAAATCTGTAGGCACCTTTAAAGGAGATTGTTTGGGCTATGCTCCGCCACGCTAGCTCAATGCTGGTTAGGACTTCACATACTTCCAAAAGTTGTAATCCGTCTTCAACAAAACTGCCTCTGTGGCTGAACGGTTATTATGCTGGATTGTCAGCTGCAACGCAAAGGACTCGCGTTCGATTCCCGGGCCGGGAGAAATACTTATATGGCCTACATTTATTTCTCCCGTGAGTTTGGGTGTAATTTGTGGTTGTCTTGTGTGTGTTCATGGCACTCGTGATACAGGGACTCCCTAATACGCTAGGTTATGCGTGTGTGCATTGAAAAAAATCAGGGTTTCATCACGATATTTTACTTCACCGTATTAATCTTCTTCTTCTTATCATATCGATTGCGTACACATTAAATTAGGTACAGATATGTTTACGAGGAGTCTGTGCCATAATAAATACACTTCGGGCCATTTTCTCATCGGGATAAGCAGAGACCAAAGGGAAATAATTGACCACAAAGGATATCCTTATCCATGCTTCAATAAACGTCAATGAATGCACGTCCTACATCATGTGCTGTCCCCCCGATGCAATCATTATGAATAATAGGACAATGGCACAAGGCAAATGCAACGCTGTAACAAATGATAGCCGTCATTTATATTGCAATTGAATTTATAGACGTTAATCACGATCATAAAAATGGTTAAAGAAACGTTTCGAAGGTATCGTTCCCATGAAATTTGTGAAACTTCAAATGTTCACTTCTCATCAAGCTATACACTTTTGTTCGAATATCGCCTTCAGTGCAACGGAAAAAGATCAGTCAATTTGTCAAACACCAAAAATAAAATAAAAAAATCTACTGGATCTTGGGTCTTTAATAATTTTGGATCAAATGTCCTATCAACTTTACGAAAATGTAGTTGTTGTAAAACTTAAAAAGTCTAATTAGAGCAACTGTATTATCGATTTTAATGAAAATTTGAATTAAAAAAAGTTACTTAGATGTACTGTGTTATCTAAATATCTAAAATGTAAATTAAAAAAAAATTTGAAAGATCATTATTTCACAAATATTTTTTTTTAACCATATTGAGTGTCAGTTTGTAACTCTTTGCTCAATTGAGACTCGTTTTGTTCCTCATATCAAACTGTGTATTATTCAGTTTTGTAGGACTATGTTTAGTTAAGAAAGTAGTACCCCTTTAATAAATTCTTAAATAAATAAAAAAAAAGACAGAATTATAAGAGGAAATAAAAATACAAGTTTGATCAAAATTGTACAGATGCTTCGAGATCTACTTACTACACGAGTTCAGTGTGACCTCGTTTAAAATGACAATAGTCGAATGCATCTGCAAGGACTGCACAGTACCTCATACCCACAGGAAGAGCTGAGTTAGTGCTCATTTATAGGTTAATGGGGGGACTTGTGTAGGTATATATATTTTTTGCACGACGTTTCTGTAAGGTGCGGTATGTAGGCCTGTGGCTGTTGCCTTCATCCTTGTTACATGAATTGCCGTGGAATACGCCGAACGCAAATGTAACTTAAAAAGGGAAATGGCATTGGACACGCAAAACGAAATTTGTAAAAATGATTGGAAAATAAACATTGTTATTGCGTAAAATCACATGTATTTGGGTACCTACTAACTTTTCAAGCTCTTACTGGTCCCGTGGTCACTACTGGCTCTAACTGACCACTGTAAAGAGCCCGAAACCATAGTAAAATAAGAGAAGTATGGTAACTCCGTATAAAGCAACAGCGCGACTTCTATGTGTGCATGACCACCGCGCGCCGTGTATGTCGCACGCATTCGCACAATAAAGGAAGGCGCGTTGGGAAGGACAACCACTGTATTATCTGCTGTATAGATGGCAATGGAATCACTGGTTCGACAGAGCACACGTAACAACTGCCACTACGTTCACTCTCATCTACGGCTCTCGTGATACCACTGTAGTCGCATCGCACATGAATACCCGAGACAGTATTGTCATATACACTGCAACCAGTGTTATGCAATGTGAGTGCATCGTGAGGTTATGCGAATGTGTACGTCCGCACACGGCGCGCGGGGCGGCAGGCGTACACACATATGAAGTTACCATACCTGGCTTATTGTGCTACGTCAACGTTGGTTTGTTTTGATCACGAACATAATTTTATATCCGATAAAAAATTTAATCGCTTAATTAATTTTCAATGTGTAGCAACCACAAAAACACAAGAACTCGATATGTGCAAAAAAATGACATTGAAACGCAACTTTAATATAGTACTCTCAATATTTCGTCTTACGATCATTAGCTTCGTATTAACTTTCGAAATGACATAATACTCATAAATAGCACAAAAAATCAAATATCCGATACTCGTCGAAAGTATCTTCAACTTTCTTTTTGTTTATCTGTACTTTCATCGTGTTAAAATTAAAAAAAAAATTCTGCCACGATCTACTTCAACATATTATAATTTTACATAAATCTTCTTAACGCGTTAATCTCATTAGCGGTGGCCACGATACACTTGACTTTTAAGAAATCCATGCCGCCATGAAAGAAAGCGCAAAAGTTAAATATAATAGTCAATTTTTAAGATTATTGAATGTTTGACCACCATGATATTAAATTATTTTCATGAAATCCTAATCCACTAGTTTGTTATAATATTAATACAAAGAGCGTACACTAAGAAGAAAATCCTTCGATTCGGCTGGATTCGAACCAGTGTCTCCGAGCAAACCGTGGCAAACGCTGTGCTAACTAAGCTACAGAACGAATTAGCGGACTTTACGAATTTTTCTGTGGCAGATCTTTGATTTTTTTTGTTTTTAACGACTTTTTTGCCGTAGTTCCGTCTGTGAGAAATCTATTTCTTCACTCAGCCGGGTACCTTTACAGCTACCTGCAGTTGACTAGAGATGTCGTTTTAATAATTGTATTTTTTAAGTTTATTGAAAGTCACGATGTTTGACCACCATGTTCAATTATTTTTGTGAAATTATTCTTAGTTATAGCGTCTGGCACGGTTTGCTGGGAGAGAGGCTCATTCGAATCCAGCCTGACCGAAGGAACTTTTCTTAGTGTTCGATTTTGTATTAAAAACACTGCCCACTGTATTGAATGTGCTCTTCTTACAATACTATCAGATTTGATTTTGACATTTTCTCTGATTCTGTGGCTTGAACTTGGAACTCAATTAAAACGTGTCTTATGTGTTGACTTTGCGATAGATTTTGTTTTATTTATTGTCTTCTCAGGTATTAATTAGATTCAAATTTCTTATTACTGTCATTTAGGCACTTTTTGTTGATGAAGTTTGATTATTGTGTTCACATCTAGGGTACAATCTTTTCATATAACTAAGTGCATCAAACGCTTTCACCTTATTTTAGAATTGTATCCAATTTTGTGAACCGAATTAAAAAAAAAGAAAAAATCATAATAATTATAATAGTCAAATTTTCATAGTGTAGTGAGGTACTGAGTTGGATATTGAGTTACAAAGTAAAAAAAAATTGAGAAAATAACTAGAAATTTAAAGAAAATACACTTTATACTGTATAATTTAGCTTCATTACAATAACACGTTTTCTTGAAACCGGTGTTAGGATACGACCAGTAAAATCGAGAATTGGATGTTAAAATGTATCGACTGAACTAAACTAAGTAATAACTGATATCAACTATTCAATAATATAAGAACAAGATAATATCAATAATATCAATATCAACAAATAATTTCGAATAGACAAATGACACCACTATTTGTTAATTTTCGGCTTAATGTTTTTATGTAAAATATTTATTCAGTAGCCAACCGGGCCGTAACTATGGGACCTGTATGAGATCCGAAAGACCCAAAATGACGGTTTGTTTGATAAAACAAATATACGCGATGTGGTCCGATAAATAAATTAATATCCTAAAATATTTATTGTTTTGTCGTGTTTAAAAATATATAATTTGTACGTTGCCGTAATTATGACCACTTGCCGTTCTAATCATGCTAAATTTTACGGAGTATATAACATACTAGGCACCCCGCGCTCGACAGAACTTTTTGTTCGTGGAGGCTATAAGAAATTCTGTTCCGTCGGAGAATAGCAATTTTGATCCTGAACGTGTTAATTCTTAAAGATTTACTGTCGACTCTGACGGAACAATACTTCTTCTACATTACGAATAGATTTTTTTGAAGATCGATTAAAGTGTAGAATGAAATATTCATAATCTATAGATTATACCTTTATACCTTTTGTATACAAAAGCATCATCTTATTAATTTGTTATAGTCAGTCAGTAAATAGATTTCAATAAATTATTTGTACCAATGAAGCGAGATCGATTGCAGACAGATGCCTTGTTTACCTTATCCGGATTGGTTATGATAAAGTAAATGATGAAACATTATGAGGGTAGTTTAAAAATAGGTTCTTACTGCTTTTATTCTTATGTGATCCATTACGATAAATAAAATTATTTAAAGCAAAAAGTCGTGCATCCCTATAACGGCGGTGTTTTGTAGAAAGGGTGTAAGCGCAATTTCGAAAAAAAATTCAACATATTTTAGTTTTTCACGACTGTTTTAAAATAGTTATTTCCTGTTTTAAATTCTACTTTAAAAACACAACAAACTTTATTAAAACCAAAGTTTTATTTTAAAACAGGACGTAAATATTTTAAAATAGTCGTTAAAACCTAAAACACGCTTCCCTGAAAAATTTTTCGAAATGGTGCTTTCGCCCTTTCTACAAGACATCGACGATATGTCTTCTTGTAAATATTACGTCCTAATCGTTCTAACATAAACATCTCAAATGATTATTACATGTTTACGAGCTAAATGGGCACGATGATGCAAGTGCAACAGGAAAGTAGGAAGGTCACCCGCAGCGGATATCCGTCAGATATAATTTTATTAGTCACTTATTGTTTTCGCTAGCAGTGTTCTATTTTGAAATGTATATTCTGTGAATTGTTGCTTATATTTATTTGTATTCTTAATCAAAATTGATACACTGCCTTCTCTTCTTGATGTACTGTCCCATAGATTTTATTAGCTCTTAAGCGGCTTTTGTAAGTGAACTTAAATAAATTATTATATTATTATTACTGTTACAGTAAAGATCTCGGCTGCTAAATTCGTTAAAATTATGAAGTCTAGTACTATCACGTATACTCTAGCCAAATTCGATGTAGAATGTTTAATAACAAAACGTTGCTAGGCAACCAATGATAACATTGGAAAAGAACATTTTTTTCAATGCTCATTAAAGCTTCCTCTGCCCCCACGGCCTGCTCTCGTAATTGGAATTTAAATAGGTAAGTAGGTAATTGGGTTACGTAGAAATAATACTTACTTAGCCAATTGTTGTAAATGATAATAATAATATGAATTCACTACATATTATATCATCCAGCATCTATTTCCGATTCTGAACTTGAATTACCACTAGAACTCGAATGTTTGCAATCTCTTCCTTCAAATCAAAAAGTCACTAGGGATGACACAGTTTGACAAATAATTAATTACTGGTCATTTTTGTGTCACTTTTAGGTAGTTTTAAAGTTCTGTTGAATAATATTCATTATAAACATGGCTTCAAGATTTAGTATTATCCATAATCTAACTGAATTTCGTAGGAAAATATTAAAATTGTTGTAACTGTGAAAGAGTCTGGGATGAAAACCCTAAAAATGAAATGTTTTTGTTTGTTGACATTTATTCTACATCGAATTTGGCTAGAGTATAGAGCAGATTACGAAATCATTGTATAATGCAACGAAATTCGTTCTTGAAGACACCTTGTTGAAACACATAGCAATAGGAAATTAAAGTGATTTTTCGAATTTAAATCGCGTATATTTGTATTTTTTTTTGTCAAACAAAACAACGGTTCGGGCCCTTTTCGGTCAAATTGAATTTTAAAGCTACAAACTAAGCAAAAAAATTGTTAATGAGATGTCAATCTAGCATCAAAGACGTGCATCAGTTTTAGGTAAACATTGCGTGTTTGTACTCTGCCGGCATTGTGACCAACGCGGCCTAAAGATAATAAATAATTATTCTGTTTAGACCGCACCGGGTTGAAATGCCTAACACTAAAAATAATCCCAAAATAGAACGAAATAATGAAATATTGCGAAAAAACTTATATACATAACCCAAATGAGACCAAAAACAGGAACACAGGCCAATGTAATTTTTCAACAAGTGTTAATTTATTTTTTAATTAACATTGTTGAAAATTTTAGCTGGCGACGAACATGTTAACAACATCGAAAGACTATTTATTGCACTCGCGTTACATCATGCTTGTACAAATATAAAGGAAAATGATATCCACGCATGGTTCATCGGTTCCTCGTTATCAGATCATAAAGAGCTCTACCTATAAATTACAAGGCAATTGACATGTGAAAGTTGTGAACATTATCAGCAAAGATAACAACGAAAGCCACATTACTTATTGACTACACTAGAAAACAAAATTCCATCGTTTTTAAGTAGAAGCAAGAAAGATATAAAGGAAATATACACTAGTAATACGTACACAAAAGTTTAAAATGCAATGTAAAAATATCATTTTGAACTAATATACATTAAATAGGAATACATTGTAACTCGCCATCCTAATATTATGTACGAGACAAAACGCAATTTTACCAAACCATATACAGGTTTCTTTGGGCATAAAATTTATGTTTCTATTGTGAGTTTGACTGTGCTGCTTAAGCAATACTAATTTTTATGTCTCTGTTTATAACTTATAAAATAATAATAGTTAGCCTATATATAGTCCCTCCTCCCACAATGGGAAGGCTAACTTATGGCCTATTCCTCTAGTCCCAGCTGTCCCCGTAGTGTGGACAAGTGGATTTTTTTCCACTCTTCCCTACTACACCATCACTTGTTGGGATAAGTGGAATTTCATTTCCACTTATCCCTATCAATAAAATCGCTTGACGTGTCTGTAAACGAATACATGATATAATTAGATATTTTTGTCGTAACTGTACACTTATGTACCACGTTTTATATTTTCTCACATAAGCGAGTGTATCTTTTTTTTAACTCTTAATTTATTTAGAGACCATGATCGTTGTTGATCATGTCAGCCCCATTAGAAAATCAATACATCAAAACAATACTTATTAGAATTGCGATTATCTGTCATCACATTTTTATCGTGATATATTATCGTCAGACGACTGTCGTTCTAGCTCTTCCCATTGTCACGACAGTCTGTCGTCGTTACGTCAAAAAAGTCGTGAACGACAGTTAATCATGTTGTACTTATACGTGAACAACTTCAATTGAACATACAAGCCACGACACTTTAAACTGCACGAGTAGGTATCTGTTTTCACGACATAATGGGAGCACGCTCTCAAATGTACCAAAACCAACTTGTGCCGTTGTAATTCCGTTCAAACACATTCCAAACGTTGTACATCCTCAGGAATTCCACATACTTCGCAATTTGTATCTCTCGTTCTCTAACCGAACAAGAACACGAAGATTGTCCTGCTGTGTATTTGCAGAAGAAGCAGAAGAAGAAGTAAGCCGTCTACGATGCGAAACTTTCGACATCGAGCAGGTGCTGCAACACGGGGCGCACTTGATGGGCTCAGAAGGACGCGAGTACGAGCTCGACGAGGAAGCCATGGGTCCAGGAGGTGAGGAACTTAACTTGAATAGGCATTATAAGTTCTCACAGATATCGCCTTCGGCAAAAGTGCGGTTTAAACCCAATACAAAGTTATATTAAATATAAAGCAACAAACACATAGAGATTTCGTAAGTTCTGCTAGTTACCTGTTTACTATTAGCTACGTTGAGGCGACAGATGCTTGTTCGAGTCCAGTCGGATCGAAAGAATTTTTCTTTGTGTTTGTTCGATCTTCTTTAGTAGCAGTAGAGCTCCTTGTGAAAGAGTTCGTCCAGAGAAGTACTGCCACCTTAACTACTTCTACTGCCAAACAGTAATGGGAGCATTACTGCGTCCCGGTTTTGAAGGGTAAGGGTGCTGGTGAAGGTATAGGCACATAAGACTTGTCAACTTATATCTCAGGGAGATAGGCGCAATGGCAGTGCCCCTCAGATCTTTGCGTTTTAAAGCTCTGAGTGATACTGTAACTGATATGGACAGGCATGTCGCTTACCGCCAGGCCCACAACTTGTTCGTCCCGTCACTGGGTATCATAAAAAAAATCTTTGCATCAATAATAATAAGTAACAAACTAGTGGAGTATTTTCACAAAAAAATAAATGAATATCATGATAGTAAAACATGATATTCATTAAAAATAAAATATTCAATAGATAAAACTCGGACCATCATCGTTTAATATTAGGTGGAGATTGCAGCTAACCGTGCAACTATTTTTCATACAAAAGAAAATAGATACAGTTACAACGTGTACATTTTTTTGTCTCTTTTTTATAATTTATCCGTGTTTTTTAATTATGTTGTATTTTGTGTTGTAATGGCTATATTGTCCATACGTTTGAGGGCTATCAACCACTTGTGAGACTGGCGCCTGTGGTAGGTTTCGGGAAAATATGCATATATTATATTATTTTAGAATTTATCTCAGTATAATCTAGATAATATAAAAAAACATAAAATCTAAATAATCTATTACTAAAATAACCTAATTTATTACATATAATAAATAACCTAATATCATACAAACTCGAGAAATACCTCTAACATACTACTGAAATAAGATTTTAAGATGTTAAGGTTATTTCACGAGTTTGTATGATTGTGCTTTTTAATGTTATGCATATTTATTAGGTTATTGCAGGAGTATATTAGGTTATGTTAGTAGTATCTATGTGAGGTTATTTCAGTAGTATATTAGGGTTACTTCAGGAGTTTATTTAGTGTGCATATTAATATTATATATATTAGTAGGCGTATTCCTTTGCATCGCCAGAATTGCATAATACTACTTACAATGAAACTTATCTATATCTTTGCCATGATGTCATAATGAGCACATTTTTAAGTGACCTTAGTGCGATTACGCGATCGATATCAAAAGATACCTAAATGATGACTATGTTTTCGAATTCTTTGCAGATATTAAAGAGCGGTTGGCCAAGCAACGGCAGCAGCTAAACGCCAGACTAGGTCTCGACGTAGCGTCGAAATTGGGCATGGACTTAACATCCATGTACACCAATGAAGACCTTTGCCCCGTCAAGGTTCAGATCAAGACTGAGGCTCCCAGAGTAAGTTACTGTTTTTGTAGTAACGCAAGATGGACAATATTTTATCGGTGATAACATGTTATTTCTCGCAACTTCTCATTCCCTATATAAACTTAATACAATACATCAATACGCCAACCCGTCAGGCTGGCGTCTGGTAAACAGAGATCATGAACCATAACCTCGAACTACTCGCTATGCTCCTGACAAACTTTTCTTTCACTATTACTATTATTATTAGGGCGGCTTCATTCAGGCGACCATTATATGATCTATTGTGATCACCAATGATTACAGTTCGAAAGGACTTTCCTGACTCCGACAGTTTTTATGTCCTCTGGGTGTAATCTGTGCCTACCCAGTACGGAACTTCGTACGCCCATTAGAGGCCATCACTCCTTTTTCTCTCTGCCCAATATTTGACATGTACTTGTTCACAGTGCCCTGTTAAGGTTCTAGTCAGCATTCTGATGCCATTCCCGACCAGTGGCAGAGCTTCTCTACAGTGTTTGGAATTGTAGGCAGCTATCACGACTTTTGATTGCTGAAGACCCTTAGTCTGCAGTCACACATCTCGGTAGACGTGTGTGCTTTCGTTCAGCAGAGTGAGCTTTGCCAGGCTGTGTGCTATCCTTGTAAAAAGCTGAGGATCAATGAAGGATTCGCTACCACTAGCCTCCTCCGCTGCCTCATTAAACTCGTTGTCAGTGACCAGGTGGGTTCCAACCCAACGCAGGACCACATTATTCCCCCGAGAGTATTCAGTATAGTTACAGACAGTTCTCTACAATCCTCGAAGTTTGAGTGACTGAGGTTAGTGCATGTAGAGCGGCTTGACTATCTGAGTTTATGTAAATATATTTGTTAACGTAGCCTTTCTTCAGGTTCAGATCCGCACAAGCAATAATGGTGTATATTTTCTTCCACTCGGTCGGTTTGTTCTTGATAGTTTACCTGGCCTTTTTTAGGACATCCCCAGTCTGCTCGAAATATTTATGTCGAGATCTACCTCTCCCCAAGATTCTATAAATTTATGCCATCAATCTACTAAAATTTTCTGTCCTAATAACTACATCATCTTGTACACCACAACTTATAACAAAAACAAATGATTAATCAATAAAATATAAAGAGCAAAACAGGAAAACTTTTGGTCGTGATACAATACACATATTCTTTGTTACACACGAAAAGACATTTTACAAAACAATAAAGTTACAATAGGTTAGTATAAATGTAGCAATAACCTTTTGCTAGAATGTTATCTCGGATGTTACATTATGTTATGTCAGGGTTCAAAGTTTACAACTGAACATTGTTTTACTGATGAAAAACTATCGATAATTTGACTCGATGTCGTTGTCGATATTGACCTTGTAAACTAGTTACCTAGTATCGCTACTATCGATATCACATATTGAGATATCGTTAGAGAAGCTGCCATCGATTTCAAAGATTGGTTAACTTGTAACGCTTCATTCTTGTCGATAACATCATCGCTAGTATCAATAGTTACTGTTATTTATTATTGATATTAACTACTAGGTGGAATGTCGATTCCCCGCCAAACCGCAACAGTTTTTCTTATTTTTATTGTTTCCAGTTTGCAGAACTACAAACACGGAAATATTCTTCACATGTGCGCGGTCAAATTTTTACATTTGAATATTTGTCTAATAGACACACACTATGACCTGTGACCTTAAGCGCCCAGTTATACGACGCAGAAGTTTTCGCGGCAGTCGCGCGGTGAACGCCCGTTACAACGCTTTCACGTACATTACTGGCAAATTTGAATTCTGTTTACTAGGCAACAACATTTAAATTCCTCGGAACAATACATGCGCGCTGTCGGCCGCCGCGCAGGCCTAAGACAAGTCAACCTCCCCCGCGCGCCCGGGACGCTCAATTAAGTTAAAACGTAAAAGCGAAATAAAAAATAAATAAATAAAAACAATAGAGCGTATTTTGCTATGACAGATGCACGCGGTCACTGCGCGGCGGCCACGCGGACTCTGCGCGGCAGCGTGAGCGCGATGAACGTGCCCTGAAAGTCACGTTATGTTAAACACTTAAAGATTACTTTTTAAGGTCAAGGGAAAAGATTCGTTCATTTTTTGTAAAGGTAGCAGGTTGTCGATAGTAGGATTTGATTTACTAATAGTTCGTAATACATGGTAATACAGATTATCAATGTATGAATTAAAAAAATATCAATAATATTAATTATAATATTTATTCAATCCATGATATCCACACTATTGATAGTTTTCGTACACTAGAATGCTTGCGCTCAGTAGCAAAAATTGTACTCTGACATAATATATGGTCCAGATAATTTTCTACCCGAGTATGTTAAAGGTACCTACCATTACTAAAACCATACAGTTTTGAAAAAGCGCTAGATTAATGATTTCCAAAGTGGTCTACATCGACACCCGGGGCTCCATGCCAACCAAAAACGGGTCCATGTCAGCGAAAAGAAAAATAGGTAAAAAATAGGCATGAGACGTTAATAGAGGTCAGAGGTGATTAAAATTTTGACTTTTCATAAACAGAATAATACACATTGCACATATAGTTCCTATGTACGTACATAACATGTAATACTTTCTTATAAAAGATATGTAAATTGCTTAAGAATGAAATATTTCACAATAAACAAGATATTCGGATAGGTTTAGTGTTTATAAATAGATTACCATATAAAAATTTGTATGTATAAAACTTTACTTGTATTTTTTTGTAGTTAGACATATCAAAGTTAGGAGGACGCTAGTTGATATATTTGTTAAAAAATCCATAATTGAAAGGCAGAGGCTATGCCAAACAGAAATAAATGTCACGTGTTTAGGAACAGGTTGAAAACGAACTCCTTTCTTCCTTAGAGACCTGTCCAGGAGCTAGTCCCTATTGCATCAAAACAGCTCAGCTCGCGAGAGATGAACCTCGCGAAACGCAAGGCGCGTCACGCCGCGTTATGCAAGCAGAAGTCCAGGGACTGCAGCGAAGATGGATCCTCAGCGCCACCCACACCCCCTGCAGAACCTGATCGAAAGAAGATCAAACTAGAACCCACTGAGGAGTTTCAGTGTAAGTTCGTACTGCTGACAAATTCGAAGTGCTTTTTTGTGATACAGAAATACAGCTAGCAACAAAATGATTCAGGTGTGCACTCTCGTCTTTATGAATTTAAAGTGCGCTTTTGATTGAAACTGAATCAAGTGCACTTTCAATGTTTCATTGTATTAATTAGTAAGGTTCCACTGTTTAACCGACTTAAAAAAGGAGGAGGTTCTCAATTCGATTGTATGTTTTTATTTGTATGGGATGAACTTAGGGACACAGTATCGAATCAAAATTATCAATACTGTACTCATGAGTAGTATCGCATAAAACGTATCGTACTCGTACGTATCGATACCTTGAGGTATTGATACTTTTGTCTTGCAGATTTTCCTTACTTAAAGGCAGAAAATAAAAACATGAATTTGTCTTTTTTTATTGATTTATGATTTTTAATTGAAACAAATAATAAAATAATTGATTAATTCAATCAATTGATCAATTCAATCAATCGTCATTTCACATAATTTGTGTTGCTTAAATTTCCAATTTCCCACTCCCTGGACAGTCACTTAAAAACAAAAATCTATTTGGTGATTTGTGTTGCTTAAATTTCCAATTTCCCACTCCCTGTACAATCACTTAAAAACAAAAATCTATTTGGTGTCGGTCTGTTTCTCGTTTTTGATACTGTATCGCCTGCTTTTGAGAACAAACGTTCTGAAGAAGGGACAAATTTCTTTTAAAGAGGCAAATGGTGACATACAATACACAGTGAAGTAATTTGCGATAAAGGCTGCCGTTTAAAATAAATCGCTAGGTAGCTTACGTTATGATATGTCCTAAATAGGAATTGTTCGAAACGATACGATACTTTTCAAAAAGTATCGAGTATAAAAGTATCGGTATCGGAAAAAAAAGTACTCGATACCAAAAAGTATCGATACATTTGTCCCTACCTTAACTTTTAAGGTCCCTATGCTTGCACAGGTTATAATGCTCTTCCCGGATCACTATAATCAAAATTATTAGAAAGATATGGGATAGTCCGACGAGCCGTTCGCGACCTAACTTGTTAGTGTGAACGTTTACCGATATTCGTGTGTAATTGAAAAATTAACTCTTAAATAGGGATGTAAATATGTGTCCGTTTTTTTTTATAATAATAAGTATATAGACATGTTAATTTTTCGACGTCCATTTTGAAAATTAGCTGTTTGTATTCTACATACAGTCGCGTACGCAATCTCTATCAAGACTAGTAGCTATGGCTGCGGTCGCTCGCGACTCGTCGCTTAGTGGAAAATAGTTCTTCTGACTACACAAACCGCTATTGCCGTCTCTTTCTAAGTTTTGATTTCTGAATGCCAGTGACTGTTTTTTCTACGAATTTAAATTTTGTTTTATCATTTTACCTTTAATTTCTATCAGTTTTTTAATGCGTTGCATTTTCTATACTTGAGTAATATTGTTGTAAATTTAATTACTAAACATCCCTCGTGAAGGCGAGATTCAGTATGATATATGTTAATATGATTCTGTTTTTCTATTTATGCTTCCACACAGTGACATCAAACTCGAAAGGTGTGTATGTTTTTAGAAACTCGTCCACAAACAAATCTCTTTACAAGGTCTGTTTCAATGTAGGTCAATTTGAAAGAATAACAAATACGTATATATAAAATAACAAACAAATAATATTAAATTGATTTTGAAAAAAGGTATAGGCCTACTGTATTGACAAGCCTAAGCAAGTCAAGCTACCTGAGATTTTTTTTACTACAGTTAAGGTAATAAATGATGTGCCAGACAACATTACCTATATATAGCCAGATGCCATAGCATAACCGCCTCCGTGACCGAACGGTTACCATACTGGTCTGTCACGCAGAAGTTCGATTCCCAGGTCCGGAGAAATATTTGTATGGACAATATTCATTTCTCTATGTGAGCGTCCATAGCACCCGCGACATAGGGTTTCCCTGGTGCGGGGGCTACCTATTATATTTTTGTAAATTTGTTGTTTTGTAAAAAATCATCAAGAGATACTTGTTCATGATGTTAGTAATATAGTCCTGCGAGATTGTTATTTTACAAATAACAAATAATAAAAAAATACTTTCAGATATTTACTAAAATATAGTGCGTCACCTACAGTAGTGTTAATAACAGCCTTTATGCATGAAATTTGCAGTCGAAACATCAGCACCAGTACCAGACTGCTCAGGTGCATGGGGTGAGTCCCATCGTTGGCCGTTAGATGGCTGGTGCACAGCGTTGCAAGCGCAGATGTTCGGTGCGGCATGGGAGGCGAGACACGGTGCTGCTAGCGCATTGAGAGAATTGCTACGAGCCAAGATAGCTGCCTCTGCTGGGTTACATGCTAGCATGACCGATCAACAGGTGAGTGTTCGCCAGGTTAAACTTCAAAGATTACCTAACACTTTTATACTATCGTGCAACTCCTCACTAAGTGTCGTATTTAATGTTTTTGTCGCAACTGTATAACATTTTTATGTACATGAATATAAACTTCTGCAATTGAGCTGCTGTATATGACGTCGTCCGTTCTTACTGAGCTTTTAAAATGAAATTAGTACTGTCTAGCATTCTATCTGAGAGAAGAAACTCTCTTTGTAAACATAACAGCAAACTCAGCCATACGCGCTAACAAAAACATTTCTGATGCGTCTAGGCTTACCAGATGGCCATAATTAGATTTTGCTGTCCCGGATTCCAAACGCTTAGAAGTTGTTTTTACAAACTTACTAGAGTCCTTTTCATCAAAGAAGTCCCCCAGACGCACCTCTGTACGTATTTTAAAATGACGTGAAAATTTATTTTCCCTTTAAAAATACAACGACTAAAAACATTATCAAGGCCTTTTACATTATTAACACCTATTTATGTTCATATATATATTGCTACGGTCCGTCTCCCTTACCCTAGTAGAATTGTCCCGGAAATAAGTCAGTATCTGGCAACCCTAGATGCACCACAGTACCTAGCAATTTAAATTCTTGTTTGTATATTAATGTAATTCATGGTAAAACATGATGAGACTGAAACAAGCTACAGTTAAAGGTGCAAAGTTTTAATCCGAAAATAAATGTATTTTCGGATCAGAACAAGTTTTCTAGAACAATGGTTCTAGAAAACTTGTCTATTGTTTATGAAATTTTGTGAAGACTTCAGAACCCGCGATGTTTCAATACATGCTGTTGAGAGATATAATAGCGTCTGTTTTATTTAAAAAGAATAAAATAAAAATTTATTTACCATAACTTAGAATTAACAATTGCATTATTTGAACTATGATCCCCACACTAGTCTACGCCAGGGGGTCTACTCTCGATCTCCGTCCGACATCCGTCCGAAACAATTACTGCCAAATAAGCAATACTTGACCAAATGAAAAGACGCGTGATGCGAATGAAGTTTCATACTGGATACTTGTCTTTTAATTTTGTCGAATATTACTTATTTGATAGTAATTGTCTCGGACGGATGTCGGACGGAGATCGAGAGTAGCCCCCCCGTTCCGTGGGAAGCTAAGCCAGTACGAATAATCGAATAACAATGCGGCTTATAGCAACAAGAATTTAGTTAAAAGAGAGTAAAATACAAATAAATGATAATAATGATAATAATGATAAACAATATAAATGATAAATAAATATATAAATAATAAATAAATGATTTCATATTCAAAATGTGTTAATAGATGAATTGTGATATTATTAGATGGAAGATGCACATCAAGAATGGCTGGAGGATATGGCACTTCGATTGCTCTGTGTCCTTGCCCTTGATCGGTTTGGAGATTTTGTATCCGATCAGGTGAGTCGCCCATACTTTACTACTTTACTTTCTATGGCACAACTCTTGATTGTTGTCTATGTTTAGTAGCAATACCTCTCGCTGACGGTGTAAGAAACATCATGATGAATTCTGCGCGTCGAAGAAGGTTCACAAGCCTTGCGCGCTTTTGATAATGATAGAGATGAAGTTACAGTCAAGTCGTAAAAATTAAATTTAAGTGAATTGAAATTGAACATTTCAATGGTTTTCTAGAATAGTGACCTATATAAAAAGGATCTATATAATCAGGAAGATGGTTTAAAAAAAAGTGTCTGCCGCGCAATATTGACATATCGTCGCTTAGCAAACAACACCGCTTAAGTAATTTAAGGTAATTTTTATAGGAGCGGAGCAAAACCTGCACATATTACTGTATAAAAGATTTTGGCCGTGCCACTATGTTGACTATGTTAACCAATATAAAATATTTTAAGCCATTTTTAAACAATAAAAATCTCTGTGTCCCACTCCCATTTATTTAACAAATCACAGTAATAACACACATCAAAAGTGTCTAGAGATCAAACACGTTTTTAAATATTTTTTTAACACTTTTTGTTCATTTTTATAATTTGAATTTGAAAATGGAACTGATAAAAAAATATCCATTGGTGTTAATAAAAATTCATTAAAAACCCTGATTTTCAGTAGTTAACAAAAATGTGCTTGATCCCTAGACACATTTGATGAGTGTATTTTGGCCTAGGCCACTATTCTTGAAAGCAGCAGTTTGATGATTGATCTATATTCTCCCAGGTAGTGGCTCCAGTGCGCGAAACGTGCGCCCAGACGTTGGGAGTTGCATTGGCACAGATGAGAGCGGAGCGCGTGCGCAAAGTGGCCGACTTATTATCGGCGCTAGCGAAGCAACCGCAGTGGGAGGCACGCCACGGAGCCTTACTGGGGTTCAAGTACCTGCTTGCTGCTAGACAGGTTGGTGGAATTGTCATTGCACTATACATTGTATCTTTTCCTTTTTTTTTATAATATCAAATGACGGGACAAACAAGTCGTGCCCGTGATGGTATGCTACACGCCTGTCCATAACAGTTGCAGTGCCACTCAGAGCTTTAAATCGCAAAGATCTGAGGGGCACTGCCACTGCGCCCATCACCCTGAGACGTAAGTTGACAAGTCCCATATGCCTGTAATTTCACCAGCACTCTTACCTTTCAAAACCGGAACGCAGTAATGCTAAACATTACTGCTTGGCGGCAGAAATAGGTAAGGTGGCAGTACTTCCCTAGACGAACTCTTTCGCAAGGAGCTCTACTTCTATTAATTTCCTTTTTCGAGTGGATCGCATACCGGTTTTCATGATATCGCCATCTCTGAGGTCCTGGGTTCGATACCCAATGTAGAAAACTAACTGTTCCATATTGTTTCGGGTCTGGGAATTTGTGTTACCGTTGTTGTTTCTTTCCAATTTCCATAATACAAGTGATTTAGTTACTTTGGGATCTGAACAACGTATGTGATGTTGTTCTTGTCTAATAAATATGATGATAATGAAAATGAATATGTTACCACTTGGTTGTGTGATGAGTTCCTGATAGCTTATAACAGGTAGCACCAATTTGAATATGTTATTGAGGTACTAATACATACATACAGTAATACATTAGTGCTGTGACCTAATGATCTAATCACTAATTAAATAATAATTAATAATTGCCATGTCGATAAATTACACAAAAACAATGAGTTTTAAAAACATTTTAAATAATTAACGTAATAATGACACAAAATAATATTTGTCACCCCCTTAAATCTTTATTATTTCAATAAACATATATTATTATTTGCTAATGTAATATTCTTATATAATGTAATGTTCTTTTCGACTATACGGTGAAACGGCTCACTCGGCCTTAATAATTTTAAAGGCAAAAGAAAAAGGCGGAACAACTTGTTGACAAGTTGTTCCGCCTTTTTCAGTACACATGTCCAGTACTTTTTTCGTGCTTAACGATGAATAACGCAGGTCCCAATTGCATTCAACGCGCGGGCCTACTGTAGTTAGCATTTTTTAACCGACTTCAAAAACAGGAGGAGGTTCTCAATTCGATTGAATATTTTTCGTATGTATGTTATGCGATAACAGCATTTGTGAACCGATTTTGAAGAGGTTTATTTTTTTGTTGGAAAGAGGGTTACCTTAGTAGTGATCCCATTTAAATTTGACGAAAATATTCCACTTCTAAGGGTGGCAAACTAGGGGATGAATGACTTTTGAGGTCGGTTTTTTTAGTACTCTGTACTAAGATTATAGTAGTTAGAATAGCATTCGTAGATGTCGTCGAAACAATGAAACCTTGCTTTAATTGACAGGAAGTAGCGTGCGAAAGTGGAGCACTAGAACACCTGATCAACGGCCTAGCTGATTGCGCGGAAGATGTGTCGGCGGTGGCGGCCGGCGCACTGGCACCCGCCGCCGCCGCGCTTGCTGAAGCGCGCCCGCAGACGCTGCCGCACGTCGTCGCTAGGTTGTGGCAGTTGCTACACGAACAAGACGATTTGGCTGCACCAGCTAATTCATACATGGCCTTGTTAGCCTCCCTTATGGCGCTGCCACAGGCTGCTAAGCTTTTGCAGTAAGTTATAGTGCTTATAATAATAATATGTAATTTTATTTTCATCACATTTGTTCGTAAATAATATGATTGCTAACTTGACTATAATGCCCCAAATTCGGGCCTTTTTTTCCCCATTACAGCCAAGGTCGGTGGGGAGTTTTTTTAAATTTGTAGCACGACATACTTCCTTACATAGGTCAGGTTCAAGTTCAAGTAAGGAGGTTATTTAAGTTCGAAATTAAAACTTATAATTATATTATATCTTACATTCGCTTAAAATGGCAATATTTTAAAAAAAGGAATCATTAGCTCGCTTGAGTAATACCAGTGAATAATCCTATATTTACTTACTTATTTTGAATATATCGATTATTATTTATATTATGTATTTAGTTTAAATTTAAATTCAAAGCTATACATACATATTGAAATAAAAATAACATTTTATTAAAGTAGGTTCATATTTCACTTAATAATAATTTGTACAATTATATACACATTAGCTTTCTCTCTAAAACACACACATTCATTGACAGTTTTAATAACGAAATTCTTTTTAGTGCCGATATCCCATTGAGTATATTACTTGAAATAGAAACGAAATAAGGGCCATCCATCCTTGGCAACTCATCAGCCAAAAGGGTCTTATATCACTTTTAAATATCAACTCTCGTTTGCACTGAATTCACAAATTAGAAAGCTGAAATAGTACAGTGCCAAAACTTGACCTGTGTGTACGACTCTGTATATTGCAAAAAAATTCTGTATTTATTGTAATAAAGGTAATACCTCTAACTATGGGGGGCTGTTGCTTTCGGTGGTGTGGGAAAAACAGCGAAATGTGTAATTAGAAAAGAAACGGAATCACATTGCAGCAGTTATTAAATATGTAATTTTTCAATTTTCGTCCATGATAGCAAAGCTCAAGTTAAACTGGTCGATTTGAAGCGAAACAATTGACCAATCGGGGCGCAGTTGTCACCGTAATGATTTGGCAAAATAGTTTTCAAACAAATTAAGTGACATTTCGCCTCTGTTTCTGATTATATATTCGATGCGATACCCCAACGAGTTCAATTATGCTATATCCCTGTTTCTGTAATGTGTAACAAATCCTTTTCTTAATTTCAAAGATAAATATAATGAGATAAATATAAGATATAATTCTTTTAACTGGCAAGAAAATTACTGTTAAGACATCTATTTATTTGTTACAGCCCCATCGATCTTTCAAATGTACTTCCTCGTCTATGGCCGTACCTCGATCATTCCACAAGCTCCGTTCGGAAAGCGACTCTACAAACATTGCGAACACTAACACGCCCTCTGGTGACCAGTGTTAAAGTCAATGGTGAAACAAACGGGTCTAGTGATGCTAATAACAGTGAAGTGAAAAGTAATGAAGCTAAAAATAATGAAGTGAAAAGTGATATTAAGGGCAGTGAAAATGGTGAAATGGACAGATACTTAAATTGGACACCCGAGTTGCTGCAGGAAGCTATGGGACATGTTTATCAGCGAGTACTGTTTGAACATGTCCACGACATTCAGGAGATTGCTATACAGGTTCGTCTTTTTTATTTCACAATATTGGCATTGTAACATTGAACCACAATATCATTATTGATACAAAGATCGAACAAACAAGAAAAATACTTTAGATCCAACATAGATATAATTTAGTGACGGGACGAACAAGTCATGTGCCTGATGGCAAGCTATACGCCTGTCCATAACAGTTGCAGTGCCACTCAAAGTTTTAAATCGTTACATGAGGGGCACTACCACTGGGAAATAAGTTGACAAGTCCCATGTGCCTGTAATTTCACCAGCACCCTTACCGGAACGCAGTAATGCTGATATTACTGCTTGGCGGCAGAAATAGGTAAGGTGGCAGTACTTCTCTGGACTAACTCTTTCACAAGGAGCTCTACCGCTATTAAAATTATTTATTATAATTATAAACAAAATGATTGAAACAAATTCACTTGCATCGCATTTTGCTTGTTTTCACCTTCAAATGTGTGGTAACATTATTCTGCTGTATTGGTTACATATAACAACATGTGATTATTATATTCAGATGTTTTTTAGGTTAGTCAGACTCGATTTGTAATATTTACCAATGACGGACAGCTCAATTCATATATATCATTAATCGTTTCGTAGGTGTGGGAGAACTTTTTAAAGCACGCTCCACTATCGACAATACTGGTTTCGGCTTGTCCGCTGCTGGCCACGTGGCTATGTCTCGCCATGCAGCCTGCGAGGCTCTACGTCGATCCGGTTTTGTTGGTGCACCCACCACCTAAGGTAAATATAACCATTTATTAATTATCAAGTAATCCGGTTTTTGTTATTTTAAATTTTGGTTTTTCTTAAGCTCGTATTAATAAATCCATCTAAAGTAAGTGCAAATCAAGTTTGCAAAGCATATACTGAGCTCAGAATCCTCGCTACACATTTGTGACCATAGATATAGTGTTGCGTATTTAGTTACTATTTATGTGTAAGACTTTTCATTTGTATGTTTTTGTGTGTGTGTGAAATTGAATTTAAGTAGTGTTGCAACGAATTGTATACTAATATTCGTCTAGGAACGTGTCCGAATAGCCGAATATTGGGCCAAATTATTCGGCCTAATTAAGGCCATCTAGTGGCTATTAGATGACTTAAAACCGTGGCTCTTACTTTTGTCTAAGAGATACAAAAAAATCCTTCGCTCACCTTTACGGGTTCCATTAGTGTAGTCAAATGTTTGTTTAGAGATCTCCTCAAACGTTGATCGAAATGTGATATTGTGCTTACAGGAGAAACGGACAAAGACGAATTCCCAATCCGAAGGCGAGTTGCCGGCTGAAGTTCGTCCGAGCCAGAAATGGTACGTGGGGGGCAGCGAGTCCCTGCCCAGTGCAGTGCGGGACAGAAATGTGATGCGCGCACGCTGCTTGGCGGCTGACATATTAGGTAACGGCCTACAAATTATTATTATTATTACCTTAGAATAATAACGCATAGAAACCTAGTCCGCACACGCTAAGTGAGGCAAATTGAAGCGCGCCAAAAGGGCCTACACGAGCGGGCGGGCCTTCAGTGCTCAAGGTCTACTTGCACCGCGAACAGATCAAGAATTTTAGCTAAAAGTGACGAAATGTGCGGTCAATGAGTGTAAAAATACGTCAGATAAACATAAAATAGATACTAACATCACATTCCACAAGGAAGTAACGCGTTTCAACTTGTATTTTTATATAAATATTCACTAAAACCGAAAATTAACCTACTACTAAAACTAGCCTACATGAATTTGATTTTTGCCTCACTTGTGACAGTTCGTTTGATATGAAAATATCATTCTATGCGTTATTATTCTAAGATTATTACTATGTTTTTCTTTTCTCATCCTGTTGGTTGATTTTTACTACAATTACGGACCGAAATCAAATAAATGCAGTATGGGCGTATCTATATTGATGGTGTTTTGTGATGAGAGTCTATTTCGTCTACTATCTTCATGAACTTTCTGTCAATTCGGCATGTATTTAAAATTACAGCTTTTTGTAATCGTAATGTTGAGGGTTTCTTTAAAACCTGGTAATTTGAGGCTGATGAGAAGATGCTTTGGAACATGGAGTATATATTCAGAAATAGATACGAAATAAGGGCCGTACATTCCAGGTCAGTTATAAATATCAACTCTCGTTTGCACTGAAATTATAAATTAGTAAGCTGAAATAGTGCTGTGCCAACCACTGACCTGTGTATACGTCTCCGTATATTCCAAAAATATTCTGTAATTATTGTAATACAGATAATATCTCTAACTATGGCGTGCTGTTCCATTCGGTGGTGTGGGGAAAAACAGCAAAAATTTTCGTCCATTATAGCAAAGCTCAAGTTGACTGGTCCATTGGAAGTGAAACAATTGACGACACCCATCAATTGTTTCGAATTCGGGCTGGCCAATCGGAGCGCAGTTATCACAAAAATGATATGGCAGAATAATTGTCAAACAAATTAAATGACATTTCGTCTCTATTCCTGGTTATATACTCGATGCTTTGGGATAACGCCTGTCGTGGAAAGGTATTTTATTATTTATTTTAGATTTCGGCCTAAAAGATAACTTTGCAATGTTATAGTCGGCTGGGATCAGGGAAAATTCAAGAATCGGTGAAACATGAACGAGTGCCGTATCGAGCAGTACTGCTTTATGTATTTATGCTGGATGCGACACACCACAGAAATCTAACTGCCTCAAGGTTTTTATCAAATCTGGCTGGATTAACGTCTAAGGCTATTAGAGTTAAATTTGGGTTACACACTGTGTTACCGCATTCCAAGATAGACTTGAGACGTAATGTTTTTATTTTCAAATTCATTATATAATTATATAATTAAAATATACGCGATTTAAATCCGGAAAAATAGTTTCATTTCCTACATTATATAATTTGTTTTTTCATCACACTTGCGTGTAAATATTATGATTGCGTGCAGGCTAATTTGACTATAATGCCCGAAATAAAACCCTCGGGTCTTTTTTTTGCTCATTACCGACCTTGGCTGTAATGAGGAATTAAAAAGACCCGAGGTTTTTATTTGGGGCATTATAGTCAAGTTAGCATGTATGCAATCATACTATTTAAGTACAAGTGTAATGAAAAACATTGTATGCTTCACGGGCGGTAATGGAATTACGAAACTCGACCCCGAAAGCCCTCAGTCTTCTAATCGGGTCTTTCTACTTCGGGCTTCTAATAGGGTCTCGTTCGTAATTCCTTATTTTCCGCTCTTAATACACAATATACTATTATAAATTTGTGTAAAACATGTAGTGGAGGTCTTTTTCTTCAAGTGCCTCTCCATTATTGAAGGTCAGCATTATTCAGTTTTCTACATATTTCTTTGTCCAGAGCTAGCCTGAACAATTGTTCCACTGTCTTGATGTCGGTCAACTCCCTAATATTACTTATTATATTATATTATTAGTAGCCATGACATGTTCCTTCTTCCAACCTTCCGCTTCCCAACTACGTTCCTCATCATTATAGTGTACCTTAGATCATATCTGTCATGTCGCAGTACATACCACAAATAGGCAATTTTCCGCTGCTTGACAGTGCGTACCAACTCCACCTTCTTCGCCATACGTTTAAGGACCTCGCCATTCGCGACTTTGTCCGTCTAACTGATGCGGAGCATGCTAGGATAGCACCACATTTCGAACGCTTCAAATTTCTTCCTGAAGTTTCCTTTTATAGTCCATGATTCGCGTCCATAAAGAACGATTGGCCAGATGTAGCACTGCAAGACCCTAGCGGAGTTTAATAGATAGCTGGCGGTAGAGATCTGCTTGTATGTTATTCAGTACTGTAATTAGTATGTGGTTGTAATACAGTATTTATCGAATTCGATTAATTGGGAGTAAGAGATGTAATTAATTATTATTAAAGTTACTTATTTATGATTTCGTTTTTTAAATTGGCTAAGCTTATAGGCATTAGGTACATTTTCGCTTTCATTAAAATAAGTTTTCGTTGACCGTTTTTCATCGAGATTTCTATGCGGTGTAATATTTGTCATTTGTTGCAGGTTATCTATCGTGCTATGTCGTCCAGGCAGCGCCAGGTATAGAGTATAAAGCGGAAGACGAGAGCCCCATAGAGTGCTACGTGAAAGTTATGGTGGTATATATACGAGCTGGCAGCGCTTTGCAGCGACTCGTGGCGAGTTTGGTCGTATCGTCCTGGGCCAGGCATACGAAGACAAAGCGGCTTTATCCGCCGCATATACATCCTAGAGAGGATTCAAAGGTAAATTCTGCAAATTTGAGCTATATGTAATTGATGTAGAGTTTTTTTTTTTCAGAAATAATTTCTACATAATTATAGCTGGAGCCCACAGAACAAGTCAACCAAAAACCTTTTTGTTGCCACGCAGATACCGTGTCCCGTGCATCGCTATAGGACAGTTTAATTATCATAAATGTGTCTGATAAAGCGATCGAAACTAGAGAATTCAAATGGGACAAATTTAGAAAAGACGCAGAATTTCCTTTCTAAAAAATTATCGGGAGTCGAATATAGCTCCTTGAATACCATTCAGAGTACAGACGGGTGTCACCGATGACATAGTGTCTTTATGTCACAAAAATGCCCATCGTATTTCGGTTTGAAAGTAATAATAGAAGATATAACTCGACACTGGTAAGGTAAATGAAACGTCTAACGTGAATTTTAAAATATTACAGGAGAACTATTTAAAGAATTTTTTTAAGAAAACAAAATCATGACTCTAATATTATTTGTTATGTGGAACAGATGAAACTTTCTATTTTTTATTATAAAGTTGATTTATTCAGCTGAATAGATATTATGTAGACGTGCATGCTCCATCGTCGACCTCATCGTCACTTTCCATCAGGTGAGATGCAGGTCAAATGCGCACTTATTTTTTTATGAAAAAAATACTTCAGTAACTTTTGTGGGCATGGACACATCGACGGTGGAAATTTGAAATGTCGTAAGGAATATTTTGTCGTAATGGAAAATGTTCTGTACTACATAGTATCGTTTACGATATTTCAAAATTCAATAGATCGACGTAATTATTACGCTTACCAGTCGATACTGTGGAAATGTGAAATGTTCGAAGAGACATTTTGTCGTAAGGTCATTTTCCCTTACAACAAAATGTCCAAATTTCCACCACCGACATTTATAAAGATTAACTAAGAAAGTTTCAGATCTGTTACTTGTCCTTGAATAATTGACATCGATTTTGTTTTCAGGAAGGAAAAGAAGACATTACAAAACTTGCGCCACCGTTGTTGAGGACAGCGTTGCACAATGCCCTAAATCAGGCTCTGTACTACGACGAAGTTGCACTGACTTGCAACAGGTAACATGTCTACCAGTATTTTTCTAATATTACCATTAGCATAGCTGGTCCAATATGTGTAGGGGACTTTACGCGTTTTCCAAGGGTTGAGAATCTTATTTGACGTGCAAGTTTCATCACGATGTTTTAATTCGCCGTTATTGACGGTCTCTGACGGAGTTTTAAGCAATGTAATATTGCCTTCTAAAAATGCATATAATTACGTAATAAATGTATTTTATTCCTATTAGAGATCAAAATAAAAATTAATAACATTTTTCTAATGAACTTTAAAGAACAGTGTTGTGGCGGGAAAAAATCAAAAAATTAAAATGGCAAAATTGTTAACATGTAATTTACAATGGTTCTGCTTTATCATACGGTTTTAAGTCACCTGACGCGTGTGTCATCTTTCACCTAGTTTAAAGTGGAAAACATAAGACGAAAGACGCATGAGTCCAGCGTAAGTAGCAAAGACACAGCAGAAAGCATGCGCATGCGACTAAATTCGCAAGTACAATAAAATGTACCAGATAACCTTACTAATTACCTGGTTTCAAACTAGGGAATTCCCTGTACTTTTATTTATTTATTTATTTATTATATACTATATTTATTATTTATTTATATATAATACTATGAGTACCAGTGCAATGAAATTAAACCCTGGGCTTAACCCAGAACAATCAGACCAGAACCAATTCAGAAAAGTTCGTTCCCCAAACTGCTCCTACCGGGAATCGAACCCAAAGCCTCTTCAACTGGCGCCCTCAGTATTAACCCACCGAGGTCGTCGTATAAAATAACATCCAAAACCTGTTAACAATTCCAGAATACTCCAGGAAGCTCGTGATCTCCACGCTTTGATGAAGCATTACAAACTCTCCGTAGATGGCGAAGAGTTCAACAACATATTACGCCTGGAGCAGGTCCTACATCTAACCAACGTCACGCAGCCGATGATAGCTGCCATGAAGTCAAAACGGGTCGCTCAAACCCTCGAAGAGAGGCGACGGAGCCTGCAGTCTGCTGTCAATCAGTGTTCTACTGAACAGAACACTCTTAATGTCTCGTAAGTATATTTAAACTTGGGAGCAAATTGTTATGTTTGGTTATCTTTCTGGTATTACAGTTTCTACTAACTTTGAACAATAGTATCATTGTTTACATTGGGACTTAGGCGTTTAACTCGAAATACTTTTCCCCCTCACTATTAGCAAGATTTGGAGTATTTATCTATTTATTATTATCTATTTATTATTATATTATGTTAACAACACATTTTTATCTTATTTGACTACATTGTAAACACAACAATTATAAATGTTGACGACAATCTCAAAACAACATAGAGTTCTAAATAATACATTTCAAATATCCCTTTATTGCGCACATGAACAAATACATAATAAAAAACAAAAGACATGTAAAACAAGCGGTCTTATTGGTATATAGCAATATATATATAATGGTATGTAGTATATAGGCAACCTCCGGGTTGTAGGATAAACTTAAAGATAATATTTGAGGACGCAAATAATGCTGCTAAATACGCATTTAATTGTATATTATAACCACGGCATGAAGAAAAAGTAATAGAATGTAATGTTGTAAGGCACAGGCCTTACAACATTACATTCAATATCGCATATAGTTACGCATTAAATATATCATTATGTAACTTTTTTTCTAATGAACTAAAAGAACCATGACGCCGCTTACGCCTCCAAGAAAACAATAAGCAGAAAGCATGCACATGCGTCCAAATTCACTAGTACAATAAAAATAACATCCATAATCTCGTAACGATTTAAGAATTACATTCAAAAATTTACAACTTAGGATTTAAGGTCATCATAGGTATATTCCACCACTAGGATTCGAGCCGTCCACCTCACAGTTGCGAAGCAACGTTCTTCCATTAGGCTACTATCGCTCGTTACAGTATGATCAATATTTTTGTCTTTCAGGGTTCAAGCAGCATTAGCAGGCGCCTGTGCCAACCTTCATTCCCTCCCCGAAAAACTGAATCCCGTCGTGCGACCCCTCATGGAGAGTATCAAGAAAGAATCATCCGAAGAGCTTCAAGCACACTCTGCAAATACTTTAGCAGCATTGCTGGCTCAGCTGTCGGGGAGGGACCCCAGTCCGAATAACAAAGTCCTTGTTAATTTGAAGGCGTTCCTCAGGTAGGCATCTTGTGCCTCATTCTTTTTGTTGTATTTTATTAAAATATCTGAATAATAATAAAAATCAGACTAGGATTCATTTATTACAACGCCACAACACCAAAATATACAGAAAGAAATAAAAAAGACAAAGCAAAAGTAAAACAAACAATAAAACGAAATAAAAAAAAAACACTAATAATACAAAAATGTATATGAATATAGAATATTTAAACAATTTACTTGATACATACATCGATGGGTCCATAATTTTCAATTTTTCAAGAAGTGAAAATGATCAAATTGTTAGTTTGGCCCTTATACTTATGACCCATCGAAACACCCAACATTTACAATAAATAAAATTTGGTTTATAATGAAACCTGTTCTTGGGTTACGTGTGTCGCAAACTTCAGGACAAGTGAGACTCTTCAATGACGTGATTGATTTGCACTTAATGTGATCCTTTACATTTACTTAATTCGAGTACAATTTATAATAATATGACGACCAAAAGACAATTGTGTGACGAAAATGAACGATCGATATGGTATCGTCAATGACAGATGAGAGAGTATTGCTTCTGAAATGTTTAAAGCCACGGGCCGCGTCACCCGTCACGACACAGTCCTCTCGCCGCCATCAGGTGTCGTTGAAAACACAAATAAAATCGATTACAAGATTTTTATTACGCGGGCAGGTGCGACCCGGACTTCACCCCGCGCATATGTTTAGAGAGCGCGGAGGAGAACGGGGAGTCGGCCAGCGACAGCGGCACCGAGAGCAACGCCAGCGCACACGTTAGCCACGGCCCTGCCTGTAAGTTAAATTTACTTCAATTTCATTGTAAAAAGATATACATACCGCGACAATAGTACCTTATTGCATCATGAGCTTAGTAGCATTTTTATAACGTGCCAGCCAATCTATTGCCCGGTCTGAAACTAGGGTAATTCCCTGGATTATGAGTATCAAAGCAACGGAATTCATTCCGGGACACTATCGGGGACTTCCAGACCATAATCAATTCAGAAAAGTTTTTGTTTCTAAATTGGTCTTCCCGGAAATCGTACCTAATCCACCGTCCACAGTGCAAACCGTTAAGCCACCTAGGCAGTCAGTAATAAACAGCTCCTATATCCGATATTAAATCTTTGTCGTCTCAAGTGTCACTCAGATCAGGAAATGTATATTGAGTCGTTCTGAAGTAATGAGACTATAATAATAGTGTGTAACGCAATCGTACCAATTATTCATATTAATTAATCGTAATTGACTGTCTCAAACTATGAAATCCCTGTACTACTACTACGTTGTAGCAGTCACCAGACGTCAAAGGAATTTTATATATTTATTATTATTATATTTAGACTGCCAGAGTGTTAAAGCAAGCAAAAGTAACGACCATACTCTATAAATCAGCGTAAAGACGTACGTACCAAATAAGTTTCTTAACCAAAATATAACCAGTCATCTACCAACCAATGACTCAATTATTTCTACCTTATACCATGGCGTAGCGGTGAGAACTAACCTAAAACACCCAGAATCAATAAGAAAAAATCCATAGTCAAATTTCTCCCACCGGTAATCGAACCTGGGCCACCGACATCGTCACAAAAAATGTAACAATGGTTAACTAATGATGCACAAGAAGAACTGTCTCGGTGGCCGAACGGTTACCACGCTGGACTGCCACGCAGAGGTCCCGGGTTCGATTCCCGGGCCGGGAGAATTATTTGTATGGCCTTCATTTATTTCTCTCGTGAGTTTGGGTGTAATTTGTGGTCGTCTATGTGTGTGTCCAGGGCATCCGCGATACAGGGTTTCCCTAGTGCGGGGCTTATGAGTGTGTGCGTTATTTATTGAATAAACATTCCCCGCTCTATTATTAAAAGGCTGCTCGTGTGTACTCTTTTTCAAAAAGAGAGAGAAACAAATAGTGCTGCTCTAAAAGTAAGTGGGCTCTAAGTGTCCAGTGGACATGGATGTTGCAGTGGACAAGTACAACGGTATCTTAACACTTCGCGAGCAGCAGCTGGCAGCTGAGCGCGGCGCGCCCCGCCGCGGCCGCCCTCCTTCCACACCGCACCATCTCGCCACTCTCGACGCTCTCTTCGCGCAAGAAGACGAGGTAACCTAAAGCTCGACTCTAAGGGTCGTGCAATCGTGCGTCTGATGGAAAACGACACGCCTGCGCATAACAGTCGCAGTGCCACTCAGAGCTTTAAATCGCAAAGATCTGAGGGGCACTCCCACTGCGCTCGTCACTCTGAGACATAAGTCCCATGTCTCTGTAATTTCATCAGCATCCTACTCCTCGTTGGCAGCTAACCTTATACATACTTGACGATCTTCATTAGAAGAGCCGAGCTTCGTGTCGAATTTTTTTCTCGTTGCAGCCTTCTCAGACTTGCTTAAATTGACCTCCTTCTTACTGTTAATACTTCTTATTACTCTTAAGTTTTCTTTACTTAGTGGTGGATTGTCAGTTTTTATCACATGAACATGAAGAATAGTAACTTAGTATCAAGACGTCGTTCCCTGTATATTTTATTGTGGTGATTGCCTTTCAGTCCCGCAAACTATTGCGCATTCAACGACGCGGCGCGACTCTCGCCTTGACCAGCCTTACGGAGTACTTCGGTGACAAGTTACCGCAGGAGTTACCCAAACTTTGGGAGTTTATCACCCAGCCCTTCGAGAAAGTTATGACTGACAGTGGTGAGTTTCTTAGGAAATGAAACTATTTTTCCGGATTTAAATCGCGTATATTTGTGTTTTCAAACAAAGATGTTTCGGGCCCTTTACAGGTCCCGTGGTCACGGATGTCAATAGTGACCAACGTTTCGGGCCCTTTACAGAAACGTTGGTATGTTTGAAAAACAAAATATACGCGATTTAAATCCGGAAAAATAGTTTTATTTCCTATGTGTAACAATCGCGAAAACCTAAGAATTCGATAAGAACTTTGCTTGTTCACTGACAAAGAATCACTTAAATTTACTCAGAAAAGTAAAATGTTCTTTCTACTTCGAAAAGTGCTCTAAACTTTAATTTGTCGGTAATATTTTTTAAACAAATGGGCCCAAAATTTCTTGTTAACTGCAATTCACTCCGAGACACAACCAATTTATAAAATTGTGTTTCTTAAATTGGTCCTACCGGAAATAAAATCCGGGAATACCCATAGTTATAATAACCTCTGGGCCTAAAAAAATTATTCGTTTTACATATAAGCTCTCTATTCTAAATAGTATAACAGGGTATTTTTTTTTAATTGAGGCAATATCAGGAAATGCGAAACCACAGGATTTTATAATAGGAACCAATAGGTTCTTTTTGTGAGTATTTCGGTTTAGTCAATTTTTAGTCAAGGGAGAGTTGTCCGCAAAATGAGTAATTAACGAATTCTTTGTGCAACTCTGCTTGTTTTCTAGTAAACATTTTATTGCATAGCAAGAAAAAAACGAGACAGCAGAGGTCTGTCAAATTCAATAAAATGTTTTCACCAAAAATACCTAAGGGTTTGATGACAGTGGCCTGTCCCAGTTAAAATAGCGTTACCTAATGAAACGTGTTGCAGAATTAGAAACGATGGAAATAGAGCCGGCCGAAGAGCTGATCTCCCGCCTGCAAGTGTTCGAAGTGGTGTGTCCGCACATCGCGCGGGGCGCGTGGGCGCTGGTGGCGGGCGCGGGGTGTGCGTGCGCCGTGCTCACGCGCAGCGCCTACACCGGCGTGCGGCACATGGCCGCGCGCGCGCTCGCCGCCATGGCGGCACGGGACCCTGTCGCCTTGATGCAGACGGTCATCGACGAGGTATCAGTCACAAACTTTTCTAACGTCTCTAGAAGTTTTAGATCTTACCTTACCTATTTACATCGCTAAGCAGTAATGTGAGCATTACTGCTTTCCGGTTTTGAATGGACTAAAAGTTTGTGAAACTACAGGTACTTGGGACTTGTCAACTTTATGTCTCAGGGCGACGGGGGCAGTGGTATTGCGGCTTAGATCTTTGTGATTCAAAACTTTGAGTGGCACTGCAAGATAGACGTGTCTTAGTACCAGACCCACCAAGTATTCGTCCTGTCACATGGTATTATAAGGAAA